GAAGTTTGTAGGCTTCGTAAAATTGAACGCGTGCTTGAATTTATCTGGAAATGTTAGTCATTATGTTCCAAAGGACGTTTGATGTATGTGCTAAGTTTAAGATCTTTAGCTGCATCGGTTTAGAGTTGACGAATTTATCAATTTCTGTCTCTTTCGAAGGATTTTCTTCTATGCCGCGTCAAGTTTGCAGGCTTCTGAAAATTGAACGCGTACATAAACTTATTTGTAAATTTTTGTCGTTATGTGCCAAAAGACGTTTAATGTATGCGCAAAGTTTAAGACCCTTGGCTGGCTGCATCGCTTTCGAGTTCACGAATTTATCAACTTCTGTCTCCTTGGAAGGATTCTCTTCTATGCAGTGTCAAGTTTGTTTGCAAGCTTCTGAAAATTGAACGCGTCGTTGAATTTATCTTTAAATTTTTGTTGTTATGTGCCAAAAGACGGTTGATGCATGTGCAAAGTTTAGGGTCTTTAGCTGCATCAGTTTAAAGTTCATGAATTTTTCAACTTCCGTTTCTTGGGATCGATTTTCTTCTATGCATCGTCATGTTTGCAAGCTTCTGAAAATTGAAAGCGTCCTTGAATTTATCTGTACATTTTTGTCGTTATGTGCCAAAAGATGGTTAATGTATGTGCACAGTTTAATATATTTCCCTGCATTAGTTTAGAGTTCAGGAATTTATTAACTTCTGTCTCTTTGGAAGGATTCTCTTCTATGCGGCGTCACGTTTGCAAGCTTCTGAAAATTGATCGCATCCTTGCATTTATCTGTATATTTTTGTAGGTAAGTAACAAAAGACGGTTAATGTATGTGCAAAGTTTAATATATTTCCCGGCATCAGTTTAGAGTTCACGAATTTATTAACTTCTGTTTCTTTGGAAGGATTCTCTTCTATGCGGCGTCACGTTTGCAAGCTTCTGAAAATTGAACCCGTCCTTGAATTTATCTGTATATTTTTGTTGTTATGTGCCAAATGAGGGTTGATGTATGTGCAAAGTTTAGGCTCTTTAGCTGCATCAGTTTAGAGTTCATACATTTTTCAACTTTCGTCTCTTGGGAACGACTTTCTTCCATGCGGCGTTAAGTTTGCAAGCTTCTTAAAATTGAACGCGTGCCGGAATTTATATCAAAATTTTTGTATTTATGTGCCAAAGGAGAGTTAATGCATGTGCAAAGTTTAGTGTCTTTAGCTGCATTAGTTTCGAGTTAACAAATTTTTCAACTTCCGTCTCTTTGAAACGGTTTTCCTCTATGCGGAGTCAAGTTTGCAAGCTTCTTAAAATCGAACGCGTACTTAAATTTACCTGAAAATCTTCGTAATTGTGTTCCAAAAGACGGTTGATGCATGTGCAAAGTTTAACACCTCTAACTTCATCAGTTTAGAGTACATCAATTTTTCAACATCAATCTCATTGGAATAATTTTCGCCCTTGCATCCTCAAGTTTGCAAGCGTCTTCAAATTCAATGGATTCTTCGGTTTCCTTAAGAGCTTTCACATTTATCTGCCAAAGTTTTGTCTACAAGCATGAGAAAAGAGTCTCGTTCGATGAATTTTTTTGGAGAAAAAAAGTTGAAA